GTGCTACAATGGAGTTTTTACAGTATAAAGCAATCAATCAGGGCAGAAACGAAAAAATTTTGGTGAAATTTGCACTATATTTTGAAAATTGGCAGCTTTGCAAATGCTAGTTCTAAAGTGAAAATTTTCAGTCACCTGCAAGCTCTGCGCTAAAAATTCATATTTTCAGAGGCAACTCAATTCAAAAACTGAAATTTTCACACCCTATAGCCAACATTAGGTGCTCGAATTGTTGGAATTTCCACGCACTTTAGTCCAATTTCGGAATTTTGACAACGCTGTAAATGTTGGTAATGAAAATTCTCATTTTCATACATAAACACGCCCACTTTTACAAATTCGTATTTTATAAGCCAGGCGAAATAGAACATTGAGAATTTTACAGAACATCTGAGGCTCAAACAGCAGACATTTTCGTTCATTTTGTGGACTATTTTAAAATTTTGCAATTTTYTAAATGCTGGTTGTGCAAMAAATAAACGAAAATGTTCATATATCTGCACGCTCTTTTTAAAATTTTATATCTTTTAAGGCAGAACCAGKGGAAACCTGAAATTTGCAAMAAATAAAGCAGACATTTGGARCTMATACCTGTAWAAAAATTGGTCAATTCTCASTAAGTTCGCATAATTGGCAGCGCTGTCAATGCTGGCCCTAAAATTACTATTTTCACACATTTGCAAGCTCACTTAYAAAAATTMAGATTTCTATCCCAGAAAAAGGTTAAAGCAAGTGTTTGTGCAATATAGCAGGCACTAGAGCCTCAACCAGCGCATTTKTCCGCTGGATTCGCACTATATTGCAAAGTTTGGCAACTGTGTAAATGTGGATCCGAAAATAAATTTTTGCATACATTTGCAACCTCTCCTTTAGAAACTCATAACTTCGAATCTCGATAAAGTAGACGTTCAGGGGTAAAACTCGTCAAATTTTCTTTCATTTAACGTTAAATCTTAAAATGTGGCAACTTTGCAAATGCGGAATACAAAATAAAATGTTCACAAAACTGCAAGTTCGACTTCAAAATTTCACTTTTCCGCAGCCGCATTCAGTAGAAACTTAAAAAAACCTAAATATTAAAGATTTGTGTTTTGAGGATTACTTGAGTTGTTCAAGCCGAATTCTGAGTTCCCGAAACGGTTTGTAAATGTAAGTTCTTACATGATTATAAACATGCATCTGCAAGCAGGTTTTAAAAATTCATATTTTATAAGCCGGAGCAATTGCAAAGTTGCAAATTTTAAAGAAAATAGCAGACAATCGAGGCTCAAAAAGTGGCAGTTTTCGTTCAATTGGCATCAGATTCGAAAATTTGGCAATGGTGTAAATTCGGATCTTTAAATGAGTTTTTGGACATCTGCAAGGTGCTTTTTAAAACGTCATATCTTTAAAGACTGAACTAGTAGAGAGCTGAAATTTTTACAACATAAAGCATGGGCATGTTGCTCAAATTGCGGAAAAACTCGCTCAATTCTCATAAAATTGCTAAACTTGGCAACTTTATGAATTCTGGTCGTTTATAAAAACTGAATATTTTGCAAGGTTTCGTTAAAAAATCATCATTTCGCAGCTAGAGACCTGCAGCCTTGATTTTTCCAGATATAGCAGACCATAGAGGCTCAAAATCTGGAAGTTTTTGATAAATTGTCGTTAAATTCTGAAATTTGGCAATTCTGCAAGCGCGGGTCTAAAATGAATATTGTTACACATCTGCAGAAACTCTTTCAAAAAATCACAGTTTCCCAACCGGTTGAAGTAGAAACGCGAAAATTTCAGCGGACAAAGAAGTGATATCACGCTCAGCAGGTGGAAATTTTCTCATTTTTTACAATTTTCTTAAGTGCTGGTTAATTGTGCAAAATTAACGTTTTTACACCTAAGCCGATTTATAGAAACCCAGTTTCACTTTTCGCGCTGCAAACTTTGTCAAAAAATGCAGAGCAGCGTTTTGGGTGTCTGTCACAAAAACCTTTTTCCAGCATCTTCTGCTAGAATTGCTGCTAATTAATCTGTCTGCCCTAGGGTCAGCTCATATTTTCGAGGGTGTTTGAGCGGCACGTTTCGTTAACTTTTTCCCATATGGAATTGCGGAAAACTCCATCAAAAAATAACGAAATGCTCCAAAAAGCATTTGGTAAATGTGCCACAATTAAATCACCAAATAAACTAAAACAACGTCTACATTCAACCGATTCTATTGCGATTTTAACGATTCTGAAAAACATTGGCTGCGTGTTTGAACTAACATTAATTTGCCTGCAGGGTTGGAAGCATTTAGACATTTCTATAGATTCGTGAAACACTCTTTTTTCTCATTCAGCTCTAGAATTGAGTGCTAGTTTGCTTCGAATCAAAAATATGCTGAAATCTGGCGGCTCTTGCAAAAATTACCTCGATGTTCCAATTAGTTAAAAATTAAACAATCTGGCCCATAAGGCCGCAAGGTTTTGATTTGAAAAATCCACATAAAATTGAAAATTCGTTTCAAACTTTTATTTTTTTATGTTTTATGAGCCAGTAAAAGAATAGATCGACAGAGCGTGCACATTTCGTGGAGTGCAGAGACAGAGAATTTTTCACTGATCGGTTTCTTTGGTGGGCGACAAAAGCGCACTTTTCGAAAAGTTTACTCGATTCCATTTTTATTGGGAAATATTACTGTTTTCAACTTTCCCCTGGTGCTTTAAACGCGATTATTCTGTGTTAGTTCATATCTACGCTCGATAACATTAGGAATTCCAGTAGATTAGGCAAATAATAAATTAGTCAGTTTTAATTAGAAATAAAGCGCAACCAAAGCTGCAGGTTTCAATAGATTTTATAGTGGCCTTTGTGTGGCCGTTTTAAGAGGGAATTAGCGGTAAGATTAGCTGGGAAATTTTCCTTTAAATTATCATAATCCGTCTTAAAATGCATTCCCTGCGCTGAATTGGTCGGTTGCAAAGAAACTGCTTTCGTTGCGCCGCTACATGAATGATGATGGCTATTTATCATGTGCATTTACAACAAAGCAATGGAATTTGAGAATGGAAATGTTTTATAAGTGGCATAGTTTGACAAATGAGGCAAATCGTACACTCGATTAAGCTTGTTTTTTTTTAAATTAGTGTTGTTTCATAGGTGCGAAAACTTCTTCCTGACCACTCACCAGATTGCTTCTAGTTCTATTTTCGATATCCAATTAATTTAATGTGGGCGCGAGACATTTCTTCTTGTCCTGGATATAAAATATAATTTAATGCTGCTCATAAGACAACGCTTAATAATTATGTTTGCGTAACCATTATTTCGTAGGATAGAAATGCAATTTTCATCAAGTCTGGTTCAGTTGGCTCACTAATTATCAGGGGCAGGACTGTTTTCCTGCCACTTAGTACAGATTAATTTGGCGTTGTTACTAATTACGGCCATATTATGTAATGGGAGATCTAAGATGTAGACAAGCTAGTTTGGAAGGGTGGAAATTTCAGAGCGAAACCTTATAATGATTATAAGGTGTAATTGCCAGATGTAATAGTTAAACTGTGATGACTATTCAACGTCAAAGTTGCGCTCTTTTGGACCCTCCTTGGAGCCCGAAATTTACTCAACTGGAAAAATTCGGATATTTGAGCGATTTTTATCAAAATTTCCAGGTCTATCGAGTCACGTGTCCTAAAAAGATAGCGAAAATTTCAACTTGCTGTTGGGTTTAGTTTGGAAGATTCGAATTTTCAAAAAAGAGGGCGCAGATGAGGAAAACCTTTATTTTGAGACCGAATTTACTAAACTTGAGAAAATCAGAAATGGGGTAGATTTTTATGAAACTTTCAGTATCTGTAGAGTCAAGTGTCTTAGAGAGATGGTGAAAATATTTCGGGTTGCTACTTTCTTTAATTTGGAAGATTCGAATTTTTTCAAAGGAGGGCGCAGATGAAGAAAAACATTCTTTTAAGACCGATATTTACCAAACTGGAAAAAGTCAGTACTTTTGACGATTTTTGTGAAACTTTCCACGTCTATCGAGTCACGTGTCCTAAAAAGATAGCCAAAATTTCAATTTGCTGTTGGGTTAAGTTTGGAAGATTCGAATTTTTTTAAAGGAGGGCGCAGATGAGGAAATACATTATTTTCAGACCGACATTTACCAAACTGGAAAAAATCAGTACTTTTGACGATTTTTGTGAAACTTTCCACGTCTATCGAGTCAAGTGTCCTAAAAAGACAGGGAAAATTTCGACTTGCTGTTGGGTTTAGTTTGAAAGATTCGGTTTTTTTAAAAAGAGGCCGCTGATGAGGAAAACCTTTGTTTTGAGACCGACTTGACTAAACTGGAAAAAATCAGAAAAGTGGTAAATTTTTATGAAACTTACAGCATTTGTAGAGTCAAGTGTCTTAGAGAGATGGTGACAATTTCGACTTGCTATTGGCTTTAGTTTGGAAGATTCGAATTTTTTTAAAGGAGGGCGCTGCTGAGGAAAAACATTTTTTCAAGACCGACATTTACCAAACCGGAAAAAATCAGTACTTTTGACGATTTTTGTGAAACTTTCCACGTCTATCGAGTCAAGTGTGCTAAAAAGAGAGTGAAAATTTCGACTTGCTGTTGGGTTTAGTTTGAAAGATTCGGTTTTTTTAAAAAGAGGCCGCAGATGAGGAAAACCTTTGTTTTGAGACCGACTTGACTAAACTGGAAAAAATCAGAAAAGTGGTACGTTTTTATGAAACTTTCCGTATCCGTAGAGTCAAGTGTCTTAGAGAGATGGTGAAAATTTCGGGTTGCTACTTGCTTTAGTTTGGAARATTCGATTTTTTGCGAGGAGGGCGCAGATGAGGAAAAACATTTTTTCAAGACCGACATTTGCCAAACCGGAAAAAATCAGTACTTTTGACGATTTTTGTGAAACTTTCCACGTCTATCGAGTCAAGTGTCCTAAAAAGACAGTGAAAATTTCGAATTGCTGTTCGGTTTAGTTTGAAAGATTCGAATTTTTTAAAAAAAGGGCGCAGATGAGGAAAACCTTTGTTTTCAGACCGACTTGACTAAACTGGAAAAAATCAGAAAAGTGGTACGTTTTTATGAAACTTTCAGTTTCTGTAGAGTCAAGTGTCTTACAGAGATGGTCAAAATTTCGGGTTGCTACTGGCTTTAGTTTGGAAAATATGAATTTTTCAAGAAAAGGTCGCAAGTTCGTAAAAACCTCTATTTCGAGGCAAGTTGACAAAAATCACAATTCTGGGCGATTTTTATGAAACTTTCCACCCCTTTAAAATGATCGGTTTACTAAAGGTTGTGAAAATTTCAAAGAGCTAATGGCTTCAGTTTGGAAGATATGAATTTTTTTTAAATATGACGCTCTTAAGAAATGGCATGACGCATCCATTTTGAGACTCGTATTTATCAAGCCGGCAAAAATCAGATAATTGGGTGATTTCCATGAAACTTTCTGCATTTACAGGGTCACGTCTTGTCTAAAGACTAGGAAAATTTGGAATTTTTTGTAGGTTTGGTTGAGAAGAGACGACGTTTTAAATATAAGGGCGCAGATGAGAAAGAATACCCATTTTGCCATTTTTAGACTGATATTCAGCAAACTGCCAAAAGTTGCTGAAACTTTTAAAATCCTTAGAAACATGCTTCCTTTACGAATAGCGAACATTTCAAACAAATCCCTGATTTAGTGAGGGCACTGTAAATTTTGCCTTTACAGCTCACAACTAGCGCCTGTGTGTGCAATTTCTAGCGTTAGTAACTCCGATTGATTAAATCTGCGAAAGTAGCCTTCATGTGGAGTAAATAATGGAGTTGCAAAATGAGAAAACTAAACTGGTTAAGTTGCAGCTTTTAACAGTTGTGGAAAATTGCGGTCCCGCGGAATTGCAATTTGAGAAATCCAATCAATGCTCCATTCAGCCGGTGAAAAGAGTTTTTAATTGCTGAAATAACGACTGAAGATTAGACAGAAGTTAATTGAGGCCTCCGATGCAATACAGCGGGACATTTTCAGGAAATCGCCCAATATTTCAGGCAGCTTTGCTGCGCCATTCTAGCCAATAAAGCGCCGTTGCAATGAGGATAGTTCAAGTTTATTGAACATTCAAATAATCCCACCTCATCAGCCAATCGTCCTCTAGACGTACATTTGAATTGTCCATCGGGCTTTAATTTAGGGCGACTAAAGTTTTCAGGTTTAGTGTTTCACTTTCACATTTCCAGGCAGCCAAACAACCGAATTTATAGCAAATAACTAAGTGCCCCCTTTTAGGTCGCCTTTTTATGGATAAACAGGGGAAACGTATAACATCGCCCACCTCTTGTAGCTTAGATACATTTGTATGTAAAACTGTGGGGCAAATTCTGGAAAATTAAAGCTGGTTTTTAAATTCCGCAATTTCCTTTGCATAAAACATTTTGCAGCCGGTCGTAAAATAGCTTCAGCCCCTTGTAGTCCCTTAGAGTTTACCGCTTGATAAAATATTTGAAATTTGCAGGTACGTGTGCACGGAGGACTATTCTTCAGTTGGGGCCGCTTACGGAACGATGTACACCACAGTGTTGATGGTTCTTCAATATATCGTTCCTCTGGTGGTGCTCATCTTCACCTATACGAGCATAGCGGCTGTTATTTGGTGCCATCGAATCCCTGGCGAGGCAGAAAATACCCGCGATATGCGAATGGCGCGGTCTAAAAGAAAGGTAAGTCAGTCTCAAATAAATTGTGACACCGCCAGGAATTAATTAGTTGATTTTGTATACAATAGATGAACGACAAATGGAAAATTAGGCCCATTCTGGCAACAAATTGCGCGTTTACGTTACGGTTAAACAACGGAGCTGAAATAATTCATTTCTCTTTTTTTACAAACTTCTTTTTGGGTATTT